CAAGCGCCCTGCCCTATGTACTATCTCTCCAGCCCCAAAGTTCATTTTAAGCTCCTGGTTTGAGATCATAGTATATTTCCCACTAAAAATGCACTTCCCATAGTGGCTGGACTTCCAGGCTGATCCACAACCTCCACCTAGTTACCAGCAATACATGGCACTCACAATAGCACACGAGTTGACAATTGGATACCCTAGGCTTTAAGAGTGTAGTTCTGCCTACATAAGGTACACGCCACCCCAGAGGAAGCAACAGAAGAAAACTAGGGGCCAGAGAGATAGTATAGTGGGTAAGATGCCTTGCACATGACAGATCTGGGATTGATCCCCGGCATCCCATTTGGTCTTCGGAGCCCACCAGGAATGATCCCTGAGCACAGAGCCTGGAATAAGCCCTGAATCCCACCCCCCAAAAGAAAACTATAATAGATCAGCATTCTCACAGCAGCAGCAGCAGCTGACAAGGAAGGAAATGTAGAATCAGACCAGTAGACTATCTGGCAAGTGTTCTGATCATTCAAGACTGCCTGACTTCTCTTAAAGTGATACAAACCCTTCCATGAACACTTCATCTCTTCCCACTCTGGCACCCCTAACAGCAAGTCCAACCCTCCACTTCCCCTTCTCATCCGCTCCAAGACCAGAATGAAGCATCCACTTCAACACTATGAAATGCAAATGCAAATCTGTGTAGATCGACCATGGTGCTATTACTAGTCCCACCTGGGGGTGAAGCACAAGTTCCCTGTGCATTTTCCACTGGGAGGGGTAGGAGTTGGCATCCCTGCCCTCCATGTTGTTCAAGGCCCACTAAATAGCATTTTGCTCTTATTTTTATGGGACACTTAATCTGATGTCCAGTAGAAACTCTTGCTCAACGCCCCTCCAATCCCCAGACCCTACGCCCAATGCCACACAGTTCAGGCCATTTTGACACCTACACTCAATCCTATACTGGCCAACATGTCACCTACTCTGCAGTTTGGAGGCTTTACTTGGTTTGGGGGGCCATGCTCAGGACTTACACCTGGCTCTGCACTCAGAGATCACCTCTGTCAAGCTTGAAGGGACCATGCTAGAGATCAAGCCCAGGTCAGCTGCATGCAAGGTTACCTTATCCTCTGAACTCTCTCTCCAGCCTACCAGCTCTACAGCTTCTCTCAGCCTCTCGATCCTGTACTCCCCACGCTGCAGAGCCCACTTCATTTCATTTGTTTTTTATTTGGGGGCCACACCCAGCTGTGTTCAAGAGCTATTCCTGGCTTGGTGCTTCAGAAATGCTACCAGTAGTCCTAGGGGAGCTGGCAATCAAACCCACGGTCTCACACCCCAAGTCAAGCCTGTACCTCTGGCTGTATCTCCAGTTCTACCAATGACCTTTAATCTGGGGGTCACACCCAGTGCTGCTCAGGGCATACTCCTGGCTCTGGGCTCAGAGATAACTCCTGGTGGGCTCGGGAGACTCTAAGTGGTGGTGGGGACAGAACCTGAATTGGCCACGTGTTCTTGGTCCCCACCAAGTACTTTTTTTAAAATACATCTATTTGCTTTTGGGTCACATCTGGCGATACTCAGGGGTTACTCCTGGCAGTGCTCAGGGACCATAAGGATGCTGGGAATCGAACCCGGGTGGGCCACATGCGAGGCAAACGCCCTACCCGCTGTGCTATCACTCCAGCTCCCCTTTCCCCCCACCCCCCACCAACTACTTTTTAAAAAACAATCTGGAGGCCTGGGTTGTGACCCGGAGGTAGAATACCTGTCTGCCCTGTTCAAGGTCTCGGATTCGATCCCCAGCAACAAAAGGGAGGAAAAAAGGAGAAATCTGAAAATGTTTCAATGAGTCACCATTTCCCTCTCTCACTGGAAAAGCCCCATCAATCTTCTTAGGCCTGTCCCAGACAATATTTGACTTACTCCTAGCAGCTTAGAAACTAAATTGCATTCAGCTATCCAATAAATGAGTTTCTAAAATGGCCTGGGCTGCCAGCCTTGATATTGAGAATCAGGAAGAGAAAGACCAGGTTCTATTTGCATCTGCCCAGACACTACTCAACTGATGTTTTTTTCAAGGCCCCAAGGCAATTCCTACCCCCAAGGATGATGGAGAACTCATTTTCTATCTTCAGCAAATGTTTCCAAACTTCTGCCTCCCTCCAACCTGGCAAAAACAGAATCTTAGGCTCCAAGGATGAGTTTTGGTCTCAACAGCAAATCACTAGCCAAGTTGAGTTCAAATCTTGGACATGTTCTAGCTGCATTTTTCTCTTTTTTTTGGAGAGGGGTTTAGGGAGAAGGAGATGGGAAGGCAGGTCTGGTGCCCTTCCCAGTGGTTCTCTGACTGAGCCAGACGACTCACTGCTGAGACCTGAGGATTTGTAGTTGCTCAGATCTAGCCGTGTTTGGAGGGACCGTGAGGTGCAGGGGCTTGAACCCCAGTCCCAGTCAGCTGCTCTGTGTCAAGCAACACCCTGAGCCTAAAATTTCTTGACCGCAGGAAAGGGGGTGAGAAATGAGGATAGTCTTTCCCATTTCGCTTAAACATGAGTTCCCAACTCCTGCTCAAGATCGAACCGCGGCAACGTTATAAAGAGGCAGAATGGACACCAGTCTGAGAAAGTTGCGGCTTTTCCAAAAAGGCCCAGGTTGTGCTCAGTATAGCCCAAGTGGGAAGCTGCCAGGAGGCATAAAGGATTTACACAGCACCTACATCATGCCCTGCAGCCAGGTATGCTGCCGAATCGGGAACCACCCTAACAGAGTGGTGAGAATGGGGGGGGGGGGGGGGGGGGGAGCTTTCTGGGCTTAAAGCAGACACGTAAGAAATTACAAGGCCTGATGCCCCGATTCCAAGTAAAGCTACCAAACCACCTGGGAAGGCAAACAAGTAAACTACACATAGCCTGTTCTTTCGACTTTCAAGGCACTATAGGCTAAGTCCAAGCAGAATGGAGATTTTTGTTTCCCCAAAGGTCTTCAGCTTTGTATTGTCATACTTAAATGTGAAAGGGGAAGAGAAGGGCCCTCGGCACCACTGGCAATGAAACAAGGTGCTGGCAGCCGCGAGGGCCGTGTCATCAGAGGCAGTCCGGCTCCTAAAGGTCTTGGGGCCAGGGCTCAGTCACCATTCATCAATGGAGACAGGTACCACATTGGTCTGGCACAAAAAATGGACAAGTGGCTCCTTGATGCTTTGGGGAGTTCCCCGGAGCCGAAGGGGGTGCAGAGCCCTGCTCCTTCTCAGCGGCCCTCCCTGGGACAAGGAGGGGAAAGAGGCCCCAAGCAGGCCTGGGCTGCAGGTGCCAGGAAAGAGGCTGTCACACAGCTGCCTTTCCAGGTCCCCCAGAAAGGGGATTAAACTAATCCTACAGGACTCAGACTCAAAGCCACCGGTGGAAACTAGAGAAACACCCCAAAGGCACACAACAGCCTAATTAGAGATACACTAGAAAAACAAAAATAAACAAAAAACCTCCTGAACCCAATGTTTAGGATGATCATGGTTCATTAAAACCAAACCCAGTGATCCTCCTCCCAGCAATGATTAAATCCTATCGATATTCTCCAACATGGAATAGAATTCAGGAATCGTATGCAGCTCTAATGGCACCCAACCAACTCTGGGCACGCCTCAGTACCTGAAACTGGTTGCATGGATTACCTAATATCCCAACAGCGGGGGGAGTGGGGACATGGAAACTTAAGACACACAACCGTCAAGTTGTATATTTTAATTTACAATTTTTGCCAATAAAAAGGATTAGTTACAAAAAGGGAATTTCTCTGTACAAAATAAGGATTTTTTTTTTAATCATAGAGAATCCATTGGCTTGCCTGGGCCTTGCCAAATCCGATCTCAAAACAGCTCACTAAGTTCAAATTCTTTTCAAAAAATAGTAACAAGGGTCATCGCGACAAGAGCCATAAAATGATCAGCTTCCTGAGGTGTCTAAGGGGAAGAATCTAAGGAACAGGTGCCCTGAATTTGGGTCCCTGTCGCCTCTTGAGGAGAGTCTGCTCATGGTGCTGAGGGCAACAGTGAGTGCCAGGGCTCCCTCCTCCACTAGCCGCTTCCGCACACACGGATTCCACAAGGCCGTTGAGATTCTCCCCCACCTTCTACTTGGTGACCTGTGCATGGAGGGGCAACAAAGCCTTCCGTGAGGAGTCGTCTCCAAATCCCCATGTCCACAGGGGGACAGACGTCACAGTTGGGGGGTGGGGTCAAGACTATTGGGAGTCTGGGGGCCCTGTTTCCTGCCAGGAAACTGATCCCCACTGAACCCAGCTCCTGGTGAGCTGCCTTTGGAATTTAAAAAAAAAAAAAAAAAACATGAAGAGCTGTGAAAAACACTGTAGTCGTCAAAAAAACCTTTTATTTGGACAAGCCTTACCCTGATGGAGAAAGCCCACAGAGGACAGGGGAGTCATGGGCTCCTAAGCTGCTCCTGAAATACATTCATGACTCAAAATAATAAAGGCTCCCAGACACAGATTCTCAAGGCATTACAACCCAACCCCGAATGATGTGCTTCGATGTCCGTGGAACATGGTGTGTGTGTGCATGTGTGTGTGTGTGTGTGTGTGTGTGTGTGTGTGTGTGAGAGAGAGAGAGAGAGAGAGAGAAGGGGGAGGGGGAAGAGGGGGCAGAGAGAGAGAGAGAGAGAGAGAGAGAGAGAGAAAGAGAGAGAGAGAATTTCAATCAGGGATATAAAGCTCTTTCCTCCCTCATTCAATTTACATGTACTGAGAATAAAATAGTATCAACACCTAAGGGCTAACCTCTCAGAGAGAGCATCAGCCTATGGCCAATGTAATCTGGAACTTTCTGGAGTACAACTCAGTTTCACTGGGTGCAGCCAAAGTCAGTATGCCCTCCCTATGAAACACAAAAGGGTCTGGACTTCTGCCCACCAAGGTCAGCGATGCACCCCTAATGCAGGACTTCAGGGGAAACTGTCAGCCACCCCCACCCCACCCCCACCCCCGACAAGCCCCCATCTGTGACTGCCCTACGTGGTGCTTTTTGTCCGAAGACCTCTAAAGAGGTGTTGACCGACTGCAATGATGGCAGGTCACAGTGATTCCAGAAGCTGAGAGCTTGTCGTCGGCTGCTCCAGTCTTCTCCCTACTGGGAGAGTTCTGCCCACCCCCAAGGGGTGAGTGGTGGGGATCAGTTCTCGGTGAAGCCTTGGCAAAAGTCAATAAATAAGAGCTTGTCAAAGGCAGAGTCACTTTCTGGGCAACTCCTCTAGCTGCAAATCTTGGGGGGCTGGGAAGAGGAGGGAAGTGGCGTGTGTGTAAGAGAGAACAGTCCCTTTGACAAAGGTCTGGTGACCCTCCCCTGGACACCGCGCTGCATACCAGCAGACCAAGAACTGCCGGGACCCCGTTATTCAAGACAGAAAAAAGGAAGACGCCAAAAATTATAGTCAGTTCTGCAATTTGCACAGTTGATAATTTGTTCTTCATAGCAGGAAGGAGTTGAATGGGAATCATGAAACTGGAGGAACACTTTATATTTTTCTTCAGGATTGAAAAAGTGTGTCTTGTACTGAAAGACTACATTCAGTGCGGGTCAGGTCCAACAGCGTTAGCTAGAACTCGGTGGTTAAGCGCACCCAGCACTGAGAGGAACTTCATCATGAGCAGAGAGGCTGGGGCGGGGGCAGGCCAGAGGCCACTCCGTCACTGGTCCCCAAGTCGGAAGCCCTGTCCCCAGTTATGTCTCCCGCCTCCACCGTTCTGATCAGCAGCTCGCCTCATGCTCGCAGGGGGCACGCCGAATCCAGACACCCCTCCTCTCCTGCTGGGCAGCCAGCGGTACCTGGAGTGGGCGGGGGAAGGGAGAGAAGACAAGTGAGTCAGGTCCACACACTTACCAGAGCTGTGTCGGGTCCCACAGCGTGGGTCTGTCAGGAGGAACTATGTGAGCCGAGGCCACCACCTTATCCATCTTGGCTCTCTGTTCTGATCACAGAAAACACACCTTCGCATGCTGCTTACATGTACTAAGTTTTCGACTAAATTCACACTCCAAAACAACTGTCTTAGGGTCAGAAAGGTAAGGGATTTGGCCTTGCATGAGGCCGACCTGGGTTTGATCCCCAGGACCCCATATGGTCCCTGGGGTCCTTCCTCACAGTCCCGTGATCCCTGAGCACAGAGCCAGGAGTAAGCCCTGAGCACTGCCAGTCTTTCTGGGGCTGATGAGATAGTAGAGGCCGTTCACTTGCATGTACCCACCCCCAAGTTCATCCCCGGCCCAGCAGACAGTCCCCCAAACATCACCAGGGTCACTTTTGAGCAGAGGGGCAGAAACAGGCTGAACTAATTGGCCGACTCGTCTTATGCCACGATTCCATGCCTCAGTCTTTTTCACCTGTGGCCCCCTTGGAATACTCTGGAGCCCACAGGGGGGCCTTCTGCTGAGAGATGCTGGTTCAGATCATCCCTGATACCTTTCAGGTTTCTTCCCGCCCCCAAAACACTCCTCTAGTTAGAAAGTAAGTGCAGAGAAGAGGATCTATCTAGTTTTCTAAACGGAATGCAGAATAGCGAGGCACATTAGAATTCTCTAACTCGCATCCTTTCTTCTCAACCGACACAGCTCGACACTTAAGTCCCAGATGCATTTCTCAGCACCCCTAAAGGTCGCGTACAGCAGCGCTCCTCCACAGCACAGAGTAAAAGGAACACGGCAAAAAGGCAACGCTGCTCGGCTACACGATGTGCTCCCAGACTCTATGGCAGCCATCGTCACGGCTTCAAAGAAGAGTGAGATTAAATTCAAGTCATTAGTGCAAGAAGATGCCCAATTATACATAATCAACAAAAATTTATGGTAATTTCAAAGCAGTTATTGCTTCTGCAAGGAGCTACATTTTGCCATCTGATCTTTATGCAAAATCTAGCAGAAGGGCTTCCACCAACAGAGAGAGCTTGGGGGAAGGCGGGCTCCCGCGAGCGGCTGGTCCTCCACGAGACTCCTGTCCACTTGCTGCCCCCGACTGGGAAACAGTTCCAAACTGTTAAGTCAGAATATGGCCACTTAAAGGAAAATAGCCCTTGGCTACCCCCCAAAGCTCCATGTTGGGGTTTGGGGTTTTTTTGTATTTTCTTTTTTAAATTAAGGCATCTGCTATCTGACTTGAAAACCTACAGCAGAAATCCAAGCCTGCTGTTAATGTGTCCTTTGATAATTAGACAGCAGACTGGTCATTTGGTTTTTGGGGTTTTGTTGTTGTTGTTGTTTTAGCTTAAAGGCTCAAAAGAGAAAGTTTCTTTTTATGCACTTCAAAAGAAAAAAAAAAGCAATAGTACATCAGGGAGGGCATTTGCCTTGCATGAGGCTGACCTGGATTCCATCCCCAGCACCCCATATGGTCCTCCGAGCACCGCCAGGAGTGATTCCTGACTGCAGAGTCAGGAATAACCCCTGAGCACTGCCAGGTGTGGCCCAAGAACAAATAAAAAGCCCATACAACAACCAAAGTGTACTTCTGTTCATATATCATATTTCAAAATGTACCCCTAATAAGTGCAATTAATGTAGCAGATATATTAAGTATATACTCCATTATGACGCTGAGTAACGATGTACACCCGAAATTCTATATAAATCTGTTTCCTCAATTCAAAATGACTTTTCCTATCAGACTTTTTAAAAAAACAATCCTAACTCCTAATCAATTAGGAAAGGGGGCTGAGTGGTGCGCTACCTGCACTTTCTGCTAGACTGAGCCCCTGGGACTGACAACCAGCAGAATGCTGGAACCAAAAGGCGGCACGTGCAGCCGGACCCGGGGCTGACGTCGGGCACACTGCAGGGCCTGGCTAGCAGCCAGGGGCCTTTCCTGGGTGGACGGTCCTGCAGCTCGCGGACCGAAGAGCACCAACCTCCCTCGGGCTCTGCCAAGTCCCAGGAAGGGAGTAAGGGAGCTTGCTGTCCCTCCCAGATGCCTCGCAGGCTGACGCCCTCCCACAGGCAAGCTCGGAAGCTCCGCATCAATTTCCGCGACCTCAAAAACGGGCACTGAGGGAAGGGACCCCACCCTGAGTCTGTGTCAGAGGAAAGCTGGGCCCTTGGCCTCCCTGCAGATGAGGGAGAGCCAGCACAAAGTCCCAAGCATTGGGCCACAGGACCTCGAATGCCGACACCTGCTCAATTCTGCAATGTTTAACCAAAGAAACACTGACGGTGCCAAAGCAGACTTTTGGACTCTAAGGGTGATGACTGGTTGCAGAATGAAGGGGGTGGAGGACATGGGTCAACTGGGCAGTGGAGGGCAGCGCGGCCCTGGGGGGGGGGGGGGGGGTATGGGAGGGAGCAGCATGCAGCTTCACTGGATTGCCGATGATGCATATGCTGACCCGGTGCTGATCGTGCTCTGACTTCACGGGAAGATGGTTTGAGAATGTCTTCAAGCTCAAATAAGCCCATAAAAATTAAAATGCTGAATGTGTACCATCCCCACCCCCACCCCGAGGTGCACGGGGGTCAGGCGTGGCAGGTCATCCTGGCCCAGTGCAGCACTCCTCCGGGGACACCCAAAGCTCGGCTCCCAGAAGACTGAGCCGAGGCTGCTGTGCTCCCAGAGTACCGGGATGCAGGACCTGTGCACCCAGAGGCTCAAGCCCCATCGGAGAGAGAAACCCCTATCTGAGCCCCTAGGGACACACCAGGGCAAGGGCAGGGCAAGAACTCACAAAAACTGGGGTGTGGAGAGAAAATTCCTTCCTCCCAAATCCATCGGGTACCGGAACATTAGGAAGAAATAGAGATGTCCGACGAGATTTCCAATGAGCTCATTGATTACCCTGCAAACAGAGAGTTCAATTAATCTCCAGACAGCCGCGTGGTCATGGGAGAGTCGGCCAGGCACGACAGCACAGCCCTGAGGTGGGCGGCCAGCGCAACCCTGGGGGGTAGGACCCAGGGGGCCTGCGCTCTTCAAGGCTAGCAGCCCACCAACATCTTCTGCACGTCCCAGCCTCGCCACAAAATACTGCTTGGGCTCCCTTCGGCCTGAGAATTAGAGGGGTTGCAAAGCGAGCTCTTGAAAGCTTTCAGTGGTGAGTGCTGAATCCGTAGACCGTGGGTCCCGGTGAAGGCCCACGGGGGAAGCAGGGGAGTGAGGCAGAAGACCAGGGTGTGCCTAGGGCCCGGCTCTGGCTCCTGGAGCTGTGCTCCGGTGCCCACAATAAACAGCTTTCCTCCAGCCTCCATCAGGGGTCTCCAAAGCTACTCTCCATCCCCCTCCACCTCAGAGACACATGGGCACAGGAAAGCACTCCCTGGCTCTGCCCATGTGGCGGGCAGGGATGTCCTCCACTCCCAGCTCACGGTGCTCTCAGCATTGACGGAGGCAGAAGGGAGGCGCCCCGGGAGCAAAAGCACCAGGCGCATGCAGGGCAAGCCCTAAACCCCACTGAAAATGAGACATAATCTGGAGGGGGCTGGGGAGAGAGACCAAGCAACAGAGTACACATCCAGCAAGAAGAAGCTTCCAGATTCACCCTCTGGAACCGCATAACCCCCCACATGCTGCTCGGTGAGGCCCTGGGGGCCCCCAAGCACCTCACTGTCGAGGATGGCCTAAGCAGCCCCAGGAGTGGAGAGACCAGCCCCCCACCAGCACTGCTGGGTGGAACCCCTATTACTAATAACAATACCTTGTAGTGTTAAAAAAAAGGGGGGGGGAATTCTTAAAATAGCTGCACCTGGATATCCTCCTTTAAAAATCTGACTGCGGGGCTGGAGCGATAGCACAGTGGGTAGGGCATCTGCCTTGCACGCGGCCAACCCGGGTTCGATCCCCGGCATCCCATATGGTCCCCCAAGCACCGCCAGGAGTAATTCCTGAGTGCAAAGCCAGGAGTAACCCCTGAGCATTGCTGGGTGTGACCCAAAAAAAGCAAAAAAAAAAAAAAAAAAATTCTGACTGGATTAGGGGACAGATTGCTAGAGTAGCGGGGAAGGCGCCTGACTTACATACGGCTGACCCAAGTTCAATCCCTGGCATCCCACTTGGAGCACCCCCAAGAGTGAACCCTGAGCAGAGCCAGGAGTAAGCTCTGAGCACAGCCAAGTATGGACCCAAAACCAAAATACAAAATAAAAAAAGAAAACTAAAGGACTCTGCAAAGTGGCAGATCACACATCTAGCATGTTCAGTCCCCAGTCCCCCTGGGTACGATCCCTGGCAACTGTAATGCTTACACAGATCAAAGACAGCGTAACTTTATGCATCCCCAGCACTCCAGGAAGTCAGCTCAGAGACAACTGAGTCTGTGCTTGTGCAATCCAGACAGAAAACTCCAGAAAGAAGCATTTACTCAGAGCATGTACAGGCTGAGTGCACACTCTGCATGTGGATCCCGTGACCACCAGGAATGGCCTGTAAGTACACAGGCAGAGTAGCCATAGCTGAGCACCACTGGGTGCGACGCTCCCCAAACCAACCAACAAAATCACATATCAAGACCTGACGTGACCAACAACAGTGAGGTAAGCGACAACCATTCACTGCTTAAAGTGCTACAGCTACGTCCCTGCATTACTTCAAAATCCACGTATTTTACATTAACTTTCCAATCTCATTGCTGAGATTTTTCTGAAAGTTTTATGAAGATTACAAAAGGAAGACAAAGAACAATGAGAGTCTTCTATGGATTTGGTTCCAGTTAAATAAATCTCGTATCACTTACGAGCCTCCGATGATATAGTTGAATCCAAGGATAACCCAAGGCAAATAACAAGCCTAGGAAAAAAAATACACACAAACATGAGTAAAAAGGATGGAGCTACTACATAGCAGTAGGGCGTTTGCCTTGCACACAGCTGGCCCAGTGGAGCCAGGTTTGATTCCTCCACCCCTCTCGGAGAGCCCAACAAGCTACCTAGAGTATCTCGCCCACACGGCAAAGCCTGGCAAGCTACTCGTGACGTATTCAATATGCCAAACACAGTAACAACAAGTCTCATGATGGAGATGTTACTGGGCCCACTCGAGCTAATCGATGAATAATGGGAGGACCGTGACCATTTACTGAACACTGGAATGTTTTAAGATATCCTGGGAGATTTTATTTAATCCTCTGGAAAGTCACTGGTAGTTTTTCTGAGGTCAGTTGAGCACTACTGCTGCTGTCCGTAAAGCTGCCCTCAGGAGGGCAGGGAGACAGCTCAGAGGTCGGGGCACCTGGCACGCAAGACCCCAGTTTGCGCCCCAGCACTGCAAGGCTACCTGAGCACCACCATGTGTGACCCTGGTGGCTCCCAGCACTAGCAGGCCTGAGCACTGACCCCTGCAGCCCAGCTGGCCAACTGTGGCCAAGGGTGGCCCTCGAACCCCTGAGCACTGCTCTGGGAGGCAGCACTGCCCTCAAACAAATAAAAATGAAAAACATTCTCTCTGGAGATGGAGAGAGTTCCCAGGGCTGCATGTGTGTGACCCTGCACCACAAACCACATCACCTTACCTAGTACCAAAGTGCCAGTGCCTGGTCACTGGGCTGAGTACTGCCAGGAACGGTGCCGGGATCTCAGCACTGCTGGGGAGGCCCCAAATAACAAAGCGTAACATTCTGCATTCATAATGATAGCGCCTCATACGTTAGTACTTGGAGACCGAGTATTACTTGGCCCACAGCTCTGATGCAGTCCCTGCCCAGCTTAATTCAACCCATAGCTTCAAAAAGTGGATGCAAGCCAAAACATGGCCCCTATAATCAGGGAACTAAAAATACCCATCTTCTTTTACGTATCATGCAAACTTATTTTGAACATGTATCTCATCAGAGAATGTGAAAGAACGGGGTCAAAATGAAGAAAATAAAACATGTTACAGGTGAAAAGCTGTGGGAGAAGACACAAAGGGACGTGTCTGGGGGCAAAAAAAAACAAAAAACAAAAAACAATGCTTAAACTGAAGTGTAAAGTAGGTAACAGGAAAGTGCTAAGAACAGATTTTTAAAGATCAAGTTCCCCGTGAATATCTTTTCTTCCTCCTGTTGCATCCACAAACAGGAGGTGACTTGGGGACACATGGCTGCGGGGCCTGAGGAGAGAGGGAGGGAGAAGTAACAGCAAGCAAAGGTTTTCAGGTGAACAGAGGAAACCCAGGGGTGGGAGGGTGGGGGAGAGTGGGAGAGGGGGGAGGGGAGGGGGGTGACTGGGAAGGCAGCAGGGGCCAGCCTGCTGGACACTGCTCAGCAGTGACCTCTTCTGGACAAGTCAGAAAGTACACTGCTCAGCTGAAGAAAGGATTGCTACAAAGATGGAAAGGAGTTTTCCAAGTAGGTTACAGTACCTTAAATCTCGTTCCAAACCAAAATGACACAATCATGTCTCTGTTCAGCTGGGCCCACACATAAAGTACTGACATGATCAGAGGAATCATCAGCAACTGCAAAAAGACGTCAACATGTAAAGATGGGGCCCAGAGGCACTTAGAATACAGAGGCACTTAACATGGATCTATTTTCTTGAACTTACCCCTCCGAATTCTCACATTCAAAAGGCAAAAAGAAATTCAACTCATCAAAATGATAACTTTAACTGAAAACCCTAGAATGAAACCCAATTATTGTAGATGAGCTCAGAATGATCAGGTTGGGGCAGGGCAGAGAGCTCAATGGGCGAGACCCAAGTTCAATTCCAAGCACGGAACAATCCTCTAAGCGTCAGTGTAAGTGACCTCTGAGCACCACGCCAGGAGTAGTGGCCCCCACACATCCAAAACAAAGCTTTCCTACTGAAGAATCTTTTTAAATGTAGAGCCTCATGCAAGCATAGGCAATAACTGATAACCGTTACTCTCAATAGTCACATATAAGCCAAAAGTGAGTAAAAATTAGTACGTCTATTTGAAACCCATGCACGAGTTTCAAAATAAAACTACGATCACCATTTCAAAATGCCACACAAATGGAGGGGTGGAGGGGTGGCAGAACAATAAATATAGAGCGGGTAGGGCCTTGCCTTGCACAAGATCAACCCAGGTTCAATCCCCAAAATCCCATATGGTCCCCTGAGCACTATCAGGAGTGATTCTTGAGTGCAGAGAGAGCCAGAATTGAGCCCTCAGCCATCATAGGGTGTGGCCACCAAAACAAAAAAATACAACAACAACAAAACCCCACATGATTAACTACCTAGTTAGTGTAGTATCAACTTCTGTAAGAGGCTATTAACTGTAAATATAAAACGTAATAAAGAAAATGAGACAGCTTCATGGCCACTTACCTGCATATCCATTGCTAAGCCAGTAATCTTGGTTTGTAAAGTTAAAGATCAAATACCAAGCAGGCATTCCAGGCCTGGTAAAAAAGTTCCCTTCATCTCCAGTGTTCTAAAGGAAAATACTTTTCTCTAACTCAAACTGCTTAAAACCCTCCAATCACACAGATATGAGCTCATCTTCACCATAGACAGACTACAGGCTACAGTACTGGCCAGAATCCCTCAGGGCTTAAGCACAGGGCTCTCTGTGGCATCCCCTCTGCCCTGCCCTTGATGCTGTGGCCTCGCTCCTCCCATTGGCAGAGGATGATGCCTGTGCCGTCTGAAACCCGTGACGATTCTCATCCCAGTTAGGTTTCCAGAGCCAAGCTGAAAGGCTTTTCTTTTCTTTCCAGAGGGGACAAAAGTGGAGTGGGTACCCAGAGACCACGTCTTCTTGATTCCTGGCCAACGTTCAAGCAAAGCCCCCAAAGTCACCAAGCCTCCTCTTCTGCCCCCACGGGCCGAGGCAGAGAGCTGGAAGAGGCAGGACAAAGGGAGGGGCCGTGCCTCATCCCTAGTGAGGTCCTCACAGAGGGATGCAGGGAGGACTCAGAGCCCCGAGACCAGGACAGCAATGAAGCAGGAAGAGGAGGCTGGGCGTAAACCCATTTTCCACTAAGGACCACCGATTTCCAACGCTATCTCATGGCACAGGATCCCTGTGCCGTTGTCAAGTTGTCACATACGAGAACACAGAGAATTAAGAAGGGGAAGAGGGAACAGCTATAAAACACAGTCCACTGCGGGGAAATGCCACAGAGGCAGTGACAAGCGAACAAACCACTCCAGGGCTGATTCATTCTAGCTTTCAAAGAATCTTAATTATTCTTACTTATTACCTCGAGTGAAACAAAGACTCAAACTTCTGTCAGTGGAAATAATAAACAGAATACTATTTCCCCAAATTTGGGGGTGGGGAAAAAAATCCCAGTTACTTTCTGGACCCATGTAATAGATTCAAGGATACCACGATGCAAATCCAGTTGAAGAGGAGCATGAATAAATAGTCTGCTGGTCTTCCATCGAAAGCTCCTAAAAAGAAGAATAAGCCAAACATCTCATGGTTCAGAATTTCAGAACAAAGTGAATTTCATGTAAAGAAACATTTCAAAAACACAGCTAATGCCAAAGTAGAATATTTTTAATTTGCTTCTCTTAAGTAAAAGAAAAGTAAATATTTTTTAAATATCCAAAAGTCCATCCCCAGAAGCCTGCCCTAAACTTCAGTCACCCAGGTCAACCTGTGCTCTCCTAACTGGATTCCAGTCACAGGTTCTGACTGCCACAGGCTAACTCAGACCCCAAAGGGAAGGAGGGGAGTGAATGGAAATGTGGATGGCTGCAAGTACATCCAGGGCTTCTTTCTGAAGTGATGAAACATTCTAAAGTTGAGTGTAGTGAATGCACAACTCAAAATACTCGCTGAATCATATACTTTAAATGCGTAGAATTGTACCATACATGAATAATCAATGAGGCAGTTTAAAAAGTGTTTCTCAGCTCTAGAATTTCAAATTTTACTGGATGATAGAGAACTAGAAGCAACTTTAAGAATTACAGTACACACCAACATCTACGGTCTGATCCTGTAAGTTGTCATGCAGACAACAGAATTACAAAGTGCTTATAGAACCTGACTAGGCAGCAGGTGTAAGTAAAAGGGTTGAGGGACCTTAAGTAATTGAGAGAGAAGACGATCTGCAAATAAAAAGTGGTCGTGAAATTATTGTAAATTAAGTGTATTAGGATTATTAAGTGTAGTAGGATTTTCAAGTCCCTGTATTTACTTCAAAGATAAATTTTTAAATGTTTGTGAATTATGCTTCAAACAATCATGGGACAGTCAAGAGCACAGACTGGCTTTCAAGGTATCTGTTAAAAGGGAGTGATGGAAAAAGGTGATCCCACTGATACACAGTATCTTGAAATTATATACAAGTACGTTGAAAACATATTAAGTGAAAATAACAGTCACAACGGGAGACAAAATGTCACAAACAGGCAGGTGTGTCCATACAGAAACCAGATCAGTGCTGGTCAGGGACGTGGGGGCAGCAGGAAGGACTAACGGGGACTGTCCTTTGTGTTCTGTGGGCCTGCCCGGAATGCCACACGCGGCGGTGGTTATGTAACAGCAAAGATACTCAAGACACTGGACAGGATGATTTCAAATGGCAGTTTTCATCTTATATAAATTTGATCTCAATTAAAGAAAAAAAGGGTTTCCCCAACCTTTCTCTCTTCCTTTCTATATTTGAAAATTTTCCATAATAAACTTTATTTGGGGGCTGGGGGGCACATTTATCGATGCTCAGGAGGCCACATGTGGTGCCAGGGATAGAAGCCACGTCAGCTGCATGCAAGTGACGCACCCTATTCCCTGTACTATCTTTTCACAGCCACAAAAAAAACATTTTTTAGACCAGTCATACATCACTCCTATTTAATCTAGACTTTGCTAACCAAAAAAAAAAAAAAAAAAAAAAAACACTACTCTAACATTTTAATCTAAATAAAATTATGCCAGAGGGACAGAACACTAGTAAGAAAGTCAGCACCGTAATAGGGGACAGAGAGGACAGAGAAGGGAAATCATATATTCTGGCGGACTCAAGGATCACAATTCTGAAATCGGTGTGACAATCACGGTTGTCAGTTTCACCTCAGCCTAGTTATTTAACATCCTTAAACTTCCTGTCTTCCTTCAGTGAAACCAAGGGGATAGTTAGGTCCCATCCAATAAATAAATGTCTACAACCCGACACCTGTATTAATACAACAGTTTCCCTATTTTCAAAAAGCACTGAAAATGCAGCAATTTACGGGAAAATTACATTTGACACCAAGTACCCCTCTATTTCCCCAGAGTTACAAATCTGATTCACACATCTCAAACTGATTTACTTTTTTTAATGGCTTGGAATTCCCTATCCTATGCTAACAGGTTTATAAAGCCTTGGTAGTCAGCCAATCCTCGCAAATTCATGTCGGCCTCACAAACTGATACTCACATTTTGACACAGCAACGTCATTTACTGTTTCTCATATAAGCAACTCAAAATAGCATATACGGTAGGGCAGCAAACACGTACCGATTCAGTAAGAAATTCAGTCTATTTGTCTTGGGCCACACCTTGGTTGCTTCCTAGGGACTACTCCTGGTGCTGTGTTCTGGGGAAGTGTGGTGCGGGGATCAGATTCGAGCCTCCCACATGCAGTGCATGTTCTCCAGCCCTTTGAGCTAACTCCCTGGCCCAAGAAAAGATTTCTATTAAAAACCTCACAGCAGGGCCAGAGAGACAGTACACTTGCCTTGCACATAACTGGCCTGGGTTCTACCCCAGCACCCCACAGAGAGCCCTAAGCCCTGCCAGGAAGGATCCCTGAGCACTGAGCCAGGAGTAAGCCCAGACCCTCACAAAACAAAGCAAACAAACCTCACAAGGACGAGCATGCCTTGCATGCAACTGACCCAAGTGTGACCCCTCACCCTCACCCCCAACACCAACATGACCTGCTGAGCATGGCTGAGTGCAGCCACGTAGGCACCTGAACACCGAACACAGCCAGGGGTAGCCACGGAGGCGCTTGAACATTGGGCACTACTGAGTGTGGCCCAGGACAGCAGTACATCCTCGCACTGATATCCAGCTCAGTGGGCTGAGTGTCACTGGGAATAGGCGGCAGACACCTCCCAAATACACAAACACTTTACCCACAGCATAGGGAGTCATAGCAGGTTTATCTTTTCTCTTTTCTTCTCTGGGCAAACCCAGAGGTACTCGGGGCTTACTCCTGGCTCTGTCCTCAAGGATCACGCCTCACCTCACACAGGGATAGTGGTTGCAAGGCAAGCTCCCTACGCGCTGTCCTATCACTCCAGCCAACTACCTTATTCTTAAATGCAAGTTATATACCTTTAGAGCTGAAGGTTTCTATTATGACACTAAACCTATGCTTACAGTTGCATAAGTCGTGCTTTCTGAACCCAATCTAGGAAATAACACACTTCAGGCCCATGAAGCAGCACAGAACGGGGCCTGATGTGTGCCAGGAATGAGTGAGATGTCAGACTAATGGGAAGTACATGATTCAGCCTGTAAGTACATGGGCAAAACGTGTATACCTCTCCCCATTTTTTTTAGCGCATTTAATTGTACACTGCTGCTTACACCTCATGAATCTGCTGTAAGGATTAACAAAAATCAAATAATCTGCATCAGAAAAACAGCTCAAAGGGCTGAAATATGTCTCTGGTGGGATATTTCTGTTCATTTTTTGTTGTTTGGGGGCCATACCCACAGTGCTAAGGGCTTACTCCTGGCTCTGTGCTCAGGGAATCTCTCCTGACGGGGCTCAGGGGACCATTTGGGGTGCTGGGGATCGAACCCAGGTCAACCACGTGTCAGACAAGTACCCTATCTGCTGTACTATCTGTCCAGCCCCTGGAGTACATCTTTGTACACAGGAGTCCCAGGTTTAATATCCAGCCTTTTAGGGTCCCCTGAAAAATCACAGGAACAATCCCTATGCACCAGAAGTAGTCCCCAAGCACCCCTGGGAATGGATCCAAGAAAAAAAATCATAAATGTCTGACTACTTCTGGGGCATTTACAGACACTAAGGCGTTTCTCTATATGCGCTCAAAACTCTGGCCCCTAAGTAAACTTAAGGACTGGTTAATAGACAATACTTAAAACTATGGGTAACATACCTGTTTCAAGTCGTGTAGAATACTGATATAAGAAATACAAATTGACCAAATAAAGAAATCCAGTTCCTGGACCCACAGGGAAATAAAAGGTGGCAGTGATTGGCCTCCAAATCTGTCCAGATCAAAATAAACACAGCTGTTAGTTTCTCTAAGCCCAATTAATTCATTTTAACTAAATAAAATCAATCCTAGCAAATACACGTCATAATGATGAGTGCTACCAAAGAGATACCACCAACATAATTCAAGAAGACAAGAAAAGTTCACACCAGCTTTAATTACATCGATTTGCAAATCAATGGTATAAAGTGGCATCATAAATGAAAAACACACTTTGCAAAGCAGGCTGAAAAAAGGCAGTCCTAGAGAAGGACATGGTTATGGTTAGTCAGGTATATACTTAAGTCTGTCAAAAGTGAATTAAGACAAAGACAATTTGTCGGTAACAAAGACAATTACCGACAGTAGAATCATGTCTCTATTTAGGAGAGCAAAATACTGAGATGACAACCTTGTCAAAAGACACTCAAAAGGGAGAGGTACGACAGTATTATTCCCCGTGCTCAAACTGAACTGCTCTTTAGGTAATATGGATACATGACTTAGATATATTATCCCTTTCCACCACCACCCCCAAAACCCACAGAGAAGACTGCAGCAAGCCTCGTTCCTGATCCCGTCTCCCATCCCCAACAACACAACTAAACTGTTCCGCAATGCCTTCGCAAAGCATCCATGTGTGCCACCCCAAGATTGAGTCCTCTGCATGAAACCTGGCAGTGCACAGAGAAGGAGCACTCTGAAGCCACTCACGGTACTTGTTAGAGGCCTGGAACAAGGCGCAGATGGGCCCATGCGCTATCCTGTAACAAATATTTGGATAATTTCGATTTCCTCCTAAAATGCAGATGAATGCCTGATTTCTCTCTTCCTCCACATCATGTAGTAAAGTTCGTATTCGCCTAGAGTTTTTTTAAAAACCAAAACCTAAAGTTTGCTCCTCGGCCCTGCATGTTGCACCAACACCAGGAGCCCAGTAGCACTAGTCAGAGCCCCGTTGGCCTCCACTCACTACTGGAGGTGGCCCAAAGCACCAGGGGCAGGTCCCCCACAAAAACAAACAAAAAAACCCTTTAGATTGACGTTTCTTTATATATACAGAAATTTTCCTTTCTTCTTGTTGCAAATATTTCCTGGTATATTCATTGCTAGACTGCTTTTAGGATATTTTTACCATATTTTGACATGTAAAGTTTAATTTAATGTGGGCAAATGTATCAATCATGTAGCACAGTGATGAAATACTTCACAAGAATATGCAATGTTTGGTGCTATTAGCGCACATTCATGGCTCCTCTGAGGAGCAGAGAAAAGATTCAACTTATTTTTCTAGAAGGCCACTCAGCTTCCCAGTCCTATCTATAAAGCCAACCATCTTTTTTCCTACTGATTTAAAAGCCTATTTGTATCATTCACATATTACCTTCTATACTAAAGTTCACCTCTACACTATTTTGCTTGGAATTAAATTCTTATGTCACTATCAAGATATCTTAATTCCTAGTTTTTTTGGGGGTGTGTGTGTGTGTGTGTGTGTGTGTGTGTGTGTGTGTGTGTTTTGGGGAGGGCTGGGCCACACCTGGCTGTGCTCAAAACCAACTCCTGGTTCTGAGCTCAGGGATCAATCCTGGAGTGCTTAGGGGACCATACATGGTGCTGGGTATCAGACCAGGGTTGGTCATGTCTAAGGCAAGCACCTTACTCCCTGTACTACTACTTCGGCACTTTCAATTCCTAGTTTTATTCCTACTTTCATATCTGAAAAAGTTAAAAATTCAATAATTCCCTCCCATTTTCTTGCACATTTGTCATGATTTTCTTGGCTAATCTCAGTAATTTAATTTTCTAAAAGTAGAACACCTTTTTGGGGGGATTGAGAGGGGAGGGACACGGTGGGCACACCCAGCACACACTGCAAGTACTCAGGGCTTATTTCTGGGTCTGTACTCAAGGATAACTCCTGACAGGTGTAAGGGACCATATGCAGGGGACCAAACCCTGGCCAGCTGCCTGCCCGCTGTTACTATCTCTTCAGCCTGGCTCTTTATTGTTAACACCTAACCACTGATGTTGAATTATCTATTTCTTTTGTATACTCAGAAATGGTGTCCCAACCATATTGAGTCTACCTTATAAATAAAAGTTGTACCTCCATCCTATCCGTCTCTTTTCCTGGCTAGTAGCTCCAGAACAATGTTAAGTAACAGTGGCTGAAATGGATGACCTTTCCCAAATTTTGGACCTGCCATCCTGCAGCTGGCTGTGGGCTTAAGAGTTGTGTATCTTATTGCACAAGCCTGAGGCTCAACCCCTGCCTCCGAGAGAGGCTCTCCAAAGCAGCACACGGAGAACGCAAAGCAGGAAATGTCTGGGACAACAGTACATGGTCCCAAAGAACTACAAAAGCACAACCAATGGACAGGGAGCACCGAGAGCATTCGGGTGTGGCTGATCTGGAGAACGGAAGTGGTGGAACCTGGCCAGACGCACAGGAAAAGTAATCCTCAGAGCTCACTTAACAGCCCGGGGTGAACAACAGCCTCTACACACCCAAAAACTTTCAAAGTACCCAACTTTATTTAAACCAGCACAGCATGACAGGCAGAAATTCATTTCGATTTATTTACGATTTTGTCACAGGACCCGTAGAGTCTGGAAGTGGAGAGCCCAGCACTGAAAATGATTTGAGAAGGGCTAGATTGAAGGCTTAGCTGACAAGCTATCATTGCTGAGCGTCAATTTCGATCTGTAAAAGAGAATGACAGGCGAACGCCTGCCCTACTTTGGGTAATGGTCAAAAACTGAAAGAGCAAGCCCTGACTCAGGAGGGAGACTTTATAGACGAGGAAACAGGATGAGAAGAGGTTAAGTAATAGGCAGTAAGTGGCACCGGGCTCAGATTTTGTCGCAGACAGCCTGTCTCCAGAGTTTATGAGACTAAACCCCTACTTTAACTGCCCCTTCACAACTAACACCATTACGGGGTGTCACTACAGTTGGTAAAAACTCGGTCTGACTATGACTTTCATAATCCTGAAATGAACCGTGCTTTGAATCTACAAAGTCATTCTCCCTGCCCATTAAAAACCCCTGGAGGAAAAACCAGCAGTGAGTAAGGCCTCGGCTGCCTCAGTGCTCCTACAGCCCAAGGCCTCAGAAACTCCAGGCCTCTGAGTTTGTTTCTTCATCTACCCAGTAGAGTTTGTTTGTGGCTCCTGTTTTCTTTATGTCACAGAATTGGTAAGAGACTGGAATTAAGGAGGAGAAGTTAAAAGGTGCGTGGATGAAAAAGAGATCTGTGGGTGTAAGATTATTACGATCTTTTAGGAGACTCATGCTGACCTGGTTTTTACAGATTCCCATTTTAAACTACCCCCCATGTTTTCATAAGTTACTCAAGGCCTGACTAGAAAAGCAACCTTTTTTTTGTTGACTTTTTCTCTTTTTTTTTTTTTTGCTGACTATATTTTTCACAACACTGACAACTTGACACTATTTTTAGCCACCGTGTGCACCTGTGTTTTGGAAATCAGCGTCTGTCAAAATACCTCATGTCTTTCCCCCATTCATTAAGCTTACCCTTGGGGTATACTTGTTCTCACCAATCTAAAAGACTTAATGTTATCTTTGTATTCCTTTAAAATGATCATTTGAAAACATTAAGAGATATTTTCTCTCCTCAGAAAGATACAATATAATATTTTTCTGAGATCCGTGGCAGGTACTCAACCAAATCCCTCCCTTTCTTCTGACTCATATGTAAATAATTCAAATAGAAAACGGCTTTATTTTTAGGGAATGGTGGAAAGTGACTTTTAATACTAGAAAACCTTCACTGACCCTTGAAGAGGCAGCCAGGTAGGGCACAATGAGCCCAGGACCTGCAGAGAAGCACACCTTGACTTAACACTCTGAAGGCAAGTGTTACAAATCCCCACCATTCTCCTGAGGAAAGCTAGACTCCTGTGAGAGTGAGAAAATCCATCCAGAGTCCTTCACTGGACACAAGCAAGAAGACCACGTGTGCTCAAGGGCATCTAAGGCCTTAAAATAATAATAGTAATAAAAACTGGCTTGGTTTGGTTTCTGGGCTATCCCAAGGAGTACTCAGGGGACCAGGCGGTGTTGGGCCACCCAAAGCTGAAGATTCCACACACCTTCAAGTGTTTCAACTCTCTGAGCTACACCCCAGGCCAAGATACTGTTCTTCAGTTACTATTTCACCAACTTCCGCCCAACATTCTACTACTGAAATAATTACAAGTGTCTTCCTTACAGGGCTGGAGAGATAATACGGAGGGTATGGTGCTTGCTCTGCATGCAGCTGACCCAGGTCCAATCCCCAGCTTTCCATATGGTCCTCAGTGATCTCTGAGTGTAGAACCAGGAGTCACCCCGGAGCATTGTCAGGTGTGACCCAAAAACCAAAAAAAAAAAACCCCATGATCAAAGTTCCCCCACTCACCCACTCCGGTTTTACTGAAACAATAAACAGTTGATTTGGAATGAAGAAAATCTACAAAGGTCACCATCTATGCAAGAGAGGAAAGGCACCCATATGCCAACTGTTCAGTATCAGCAAGGTTTGGCATATCTATCTATCCAGGTAGACAAGAAAAACAAATGGAAGACTCAGTCCTGAGGACAGGCTGTGGCTCAGTGGGAGAGTCCTGGCCTTCCAGATGGGAGGCCCTGGGTTCCAATCCCAACAATGCCTGGTTCCCTGAGCATCACTGGGAGTGAACTCAAGCACAGAGCTGGGAGTATCCCTCCTGGGCACCACTTAAAACAAACAAAGAAACAAACAAACAAAAAAATGATGTCTCAATTGAGAACTTTAAATGAACTCTTTCAAAGTCATCAACTAAACAACATGTTCTGGGAATGGTCACAGTCATAGTTTTCACTAAATCAAAACAAAATTACCCAAAAAGGCCCACACCTATAGAATGGATCAATAAATGGTAGTTCAGCACCCAAAAGGGCTGCATGGATAGGAGCAAGTGAAAACCACCTGCAATAATATGGGCATTCTCAAGGCACTGCGTGAAA